TGCTGAATTACTACATGAGTGAATGTTACATTGTGATTTTAACGTCTAAAGTTTCCTCATCTTTTAACAGAAGATTAATTACAGACTTTGTATTTGACTAACAGTTTTGCACATTTAGTGCAGCTGTTTGAAAATTGTTTGTACTGAGTTGAAAGGCCCAGTTGGAATGAGGTGCATTGCAACCCAAGAGAGAATCTGCACTCCTATCGTCATAACCTCAGACAACAGTTTCATTCCACTGGGGGGAAAAGTGGTAGTTGGCAGAGAACTTACCCAAGAACCAGAATATTATGATGGAACTCACTGTTAGAAAAAAAAATAAGAATCACCCTTGCTAAAATACAAAGTAGATGCTAAAGTTACATTTTGACTAAATTCTAGACCTTTCTAGACCTCTCAAACACAATAGCTCAATCACTTTTCTGTAGTGTGTATCCCCCCCCCCATCAGTACCAGAAGAGAGAGAGTTTTTGTCTGTGGAAGATCAGCAAACTCGTAAAAATGTAACTGGAAGAATGTACTACACAAGTGTTTTTCCTAATCATTTTTTTTTTGTTGCTAAGTCTAACATTTGATATGTCTATACCTAGAGGAAACCACAGAATCAGTGTGACCTGTAAAGAAAACAAAGAACATTTTGATTTTGTCTCATCCTGATTTTTTATGAATTAAGAAAAGATCCTACTGGATTGGGTTTTACTTTCATATATTTTAGAAAAGCTTTTACATTAGAAATATTATTCTATTTTTGCTGGAGGATTTCCTACAGGTTTGGAAAAACATTACTATCACAAAACTACAAAGGGACAAGTCTAATTCAGCCAAGCAGTGTTTGCATTACTTTTATGCTCACGTTCCCCACTGGTTGTTAGGCAAATGGGACACATTCTCTAAGTCCTGTATCTCATCACATGAAGCAGACAGGCAGATTTATCTCCTTGGTAAGGGGATGTAGAGCATCTGCTCAGTAGTCCTGACATCAGAAGGAATGGTTCCACAGAGGTGTCTGACCTCTCTTTGCGAGGGACAGAAGAAAGTTTTTTTTGCAGTGGGGGTCTGTACACAGATCCTGTGGGGACAAATCCTATTCATTAGCTAATGAGGGAGTACTTTGTAACAAGGATTTAATACAGGTGACAATACAAACCAAAGGCATATGTACTTTTAGAGCTTGAGCTAAAGGAACAACTGTATTAAATAGTGGCAATAGACCATTATCCACTTCTAGGAACAGATCCTACAGAAAGATAGAAATCTCTCTTTTTAGCCAGCAGTCAATGAGCCCCCTTATTATTTCCCTACTCCTTCCTGTTTGGATTGTAACTTGAGCCACAGGGCAGAGAACAGGGGCTGCTCTCCACTGAGAACAAGCCAATACATTGGAACAGGAAACAATGGTGGATAGTGAAATGAGCCCTCATTCTGTCCATATGCTTGCCAGCCAAAGTAACTTGCTGAGTCCCTAGGGAGGAATGAAACAGCTCTACAAAATGCACTGAAGCACTTTATTTGTCTCCCAGAACAGAGAGGTAGTTAGCCGTGTTAGTCTGAAATCATGCAGAATGGCGGGGCAGAGCAACACTTCAGAGACTAACTGGTTCAGAGAGGTATAAGCTTTTGTAGGCAACAGTCTACTTTGTCAGAGGCTAATGGAAGGATCAGCACAGTTTGTTCTCTGTGCTATTCCTGAGGTAGTACAGCTGTGCACTTTCACTCATGTAAGACTCTAGGATTACAATTTAGGCCTCTATTGCTTTGGAGAGATTAGGGACTACATTCACTGGGCTTTGCATCAAGACCCCGATGAAAGGCTGGTTTGTTTGTTAATTCCCTCCATCCCATTCTTTTGGATTCTCATTTTTCCTGATGCTTTCCTCTATCTTCCCAGCAATGTATAATCACTGTCATGATGCCATGTTAGATTTGCTGCCTGCCATCTCTGCTGCACCATCATTTCTAAACAGAACCGGGGGTCATTGGAAGAATTTCACTCCACTCTCCCATAGTCTGAATGTACCATCTCTGCAAAGGACCTGAACTCTGACACCGTAAGGTCAGTGTTAAGCAGCCATTTCATACATGGCAGCTAAAAAGCTGGCTTGGTTAAACATATTTATCCTTGGGTTATAACCTCTGCAGCACCAGGCTGAAAAGAAAAAATGTCAAGGCTACAATTTAGGACATAGATTATGCATAAGGTTATAAGTTTCAAATACAAAGGACTCTAGTTATTAATTTTGTTCAAGGGAAGTGGGAACATCTATTTGCTTTCAGCATGGTTTATTTTTTGCGTGCAAATGACTCCTAGACATAGTTAGGCTTTATGCTACAGATAAATCATTTTTATGGAAAGTGATAAGAGGATTAAAAAAAAAAAAGTAAAAACAAAAGGAGTTTGTTCTAGTGAGCCTGGGCAATGTATAAAAATGAGAAGTATTAGGTATTATATAACTGATCTATTGTATGCTTGCATAATTGGATCAAGAAAGTGCTTTCTTTACACTGGAACTTTTGAGGACATTTTGAAAGCCAATTCAATACACAGAAAATCTGGATATCCTCAGTGCCCAGATAATTACTTTAGGAGTTACAGAGTTACAGAAATTTCATTATAGAGATCTGGTTTTGGAGAGCAATAGGTTTTTGGTATTTAAAGGTTTATTTAAAAAAAAAAATAACTACAGACAAATGTTCCACTTTGGACTTGCCCATATTGGTGGGGTTTTCATACCCCTCTCAGTCAAATCAATTCATAAAGGTGTAATATGGGACCAGTTCTGGGGTTAGCACAGGTTTGCAATAATAATGTTCCTGCACTGCCAGAGTAAGGAGAAAATGTAACTCCCAGCATACCTGTGGTAGACATGCAAAGGTAATGGAAGGAGTATTTAGCTCCAGATCTGGATTAAGTTAAATCTCAGGATTAAGGTTTAGATGCAATGTCACTGAAATCTTGTGAGCTATTTGCAAGACAGGTTGAGCCCAAGTCAGAAGAAATCTTGAGTTCATTATGATATTAAATAATAAGTTCCTGGGCAGCAACCATGTTTTTGAGTTTGCGTATAAAACCACCTAGCAATTGTGAAGCTATTAGCTTTTATTCAGTATATTACAACTGGGAACCAGAAACGAAGTTGCTTCTGGTTCTGAAGAAGAGAAAAATCAAATTCTTAAGGACAGATCTGAATGCAGGCATTTCAGTCCCTTGCACACACCATGAAAAGTAGTTTGGAATAGGTCTTTCCATTCTGTCCATCCTTATTTTGCTGTAATTGAATACAGGTTTTCCTCAGGGAATCCCAGCAGGCATAATAATGAGACTTCGGGTGTTGCATTGAAACTTCATACCCAATTCCACCCAGTTATGCAAGTTTTGCAGTTTCTCTGTCAAGGCAAATTAATCCATAACACTGTACTGAGAAAAGAAAGTTGATCCTGAGCTTTTTAATAGCAAATAAACATGAGACAGCCATATGATCTTTTTGGTTGTTGCCAGCTCTTATTAAATAAGCATGCGCCTTTCCTACCCTTTCACCCCATTTCATCGCCCTGTCTTCCATCATGCTGTCACCTGACTACATGTCAAGAGTTCTTTGAACGGTCCCTGATGATTCTTTTTGAACATAGCTGTTGCTTTTCACTGGGGAAAGGGGCTCAAACTATCTAGTTTGCTATATCATAGATATAATTAACTAGAAGCAGAAGATGACACATTATCAAGTGTTGCCTTGGCCAGGGTACAGAAACATCACCTGTGCTTTCTCTGGGACTGGCTCAACACTGGAACAAACACCTACAGGAACTAAAGGCCATTATAGCTCACTGAGCACCTGAAAGCCATCAGAGCAAAGCCATTAAGCCTGATTTTGTTCTAAATTATAAACCATTAGAGGATAGGTGAAAGGTGCTTGCAGTAGCCTGTTTTGCTGAAGAGATGCCCTACAATATTTTGTATTACCTGGAATTTCATAAGTGCTGAAGGACTTCATGGCCAGATAAATTGCACTGCTATAATCCAACCAAGAGGTGACAAAGGTATGTCCTGAATGGGACAATCTCTTAGCGCTAGTTATGAATGCTGTTATACAGGACCCCAGCATTAGAGAGGGATCTGGGAACACTCCTAGGAAGTAGTCAAATGACTAATTGTGGATGTACTTTTACTAAAGGAGGCTGTGCTGTGGCTGTGAATGCTTACAAAACTGAAAGTTGCCTGGCTTTACTTCCTAGCTATTAGATATCTCCTAGCATGCTAAACCGAAGCAACACCTAGGAAAGGTAACTTTTAAGTCTCTTTTCCCTGGTGGGAAACTTCTAATGTACTATGTTATTTATAACCATGCAGATATTAAAAAGTAACATTTTCAATGCATCTCTTATAAACTACATAAACATATTTGACATGCATGTCAGGGCATATGAAATAATATTAAAATGACACATACAAAATCTACCTATGGTACATTTCTATACCATGTACTTTATTTATCCCAAATCTTATCTTTTTTAGACTTAATACCGCCCATTATAATTAGTATCCATCGGGAAAGTAGCCACTTGCTTCCACTAGCATATGTGTTAAACAGGCATATATTCTACAGTATACTTGACCAAGCATAAACTATACATCTGGAAGACACATAGTTAATGCCTTAAGAAAACAATTGTTTTATCAACAGTCCAAACTTGGGTCAGACTTCCACTGAAGGGTCTTGAGAAACGTATGCTGATAACCTCATATGCCTTAGTCAAAGACCACTAAAATCATTGGGAGAGTCTCAACTGGATTCACTGAACTTTGTATCAGGCCTCATATGAAACAATGTGTATATTTTATAAATGATAATGACTTATTTTCCTTTACTATCATGCAGTGATAATCTACATTGACAAGGATTATTCTTTGTGTAAAACTGGAAACAGTAAGGCAGAATATTTTATAATAATCCCACAGTTCATTATTTCTAATATTAGTAACAAAGCTATATAAATTTTGCTGGGCGAGTCATAAGGAAATTTGGAACAGAGATGGTAGGCTGTCACATGATGGCTGATCAAGATGCCTCAGTTCGGGTATTGCTACATGATTTCCTTTGTGTTCTTGATCTTCAGCATAGGGACACCTCTGTATGTTTACAAATAGGAAGTTAGTCATAGAATAAAAATGCTACCAGTTACATATGTTATTAAGTGACTTCAGCGCTGTGAACTAAGCAAATAACTGGCAACAGATTTGAGAGGTAAGAATTACAGTGATAGTTACTGGACAAAAAAAGAATTATTGAATTTAATTATTTCCTAAATCTATGCAGAATTAACCAATAAGATATCTGTTGCCAGTACTAATACAATAAGTGGTAATTGTATATTTATTGGTCTTAGATTCAGTCCTGTATTTATTTGATCTATATGCCATCTTTCCCAAAAAAGGCTCAGGAAGGCTTACAGTAAGAGACAAAATAATATATAAAAACAGAATGAAACACTAAAATACGATAGTAAAACAAAAACTGCACCCAAATTCTTTAAATCTAAAACAATCCACCCCATACAATCCTGCTCCTCTGCTTCTCATGTATAGTGACACAGTGGTTGAAATATCTTACTACAGATCCAAAGACAGGGATTTTGACCGTAACCCTATAGTCGTATTAAGGCTACATTCAGCTGACCCAGTTGTATGTGGTCATCCATGCTGGAGAGTCAAAGATGGCTGAATGTGTTACTAGCCATATTGCTCCTTTGGTGCTATTGGCTAAGGAAACTGGGGTGCCCTAACCATACCAGCCTGAAGGGCTGTTAGGCTGACAAGGACATTTGAGTTTTGAGCGCTCTTAGTCCTCTTTCCACATCACACAATGCGTTGAATGAAAGCTGGCGGGAACTCTTTAATTAAACCTCAAGTCTCAGTCTCTTGGTCCTCAGATGTACAAGCCCAAAATGTGAAAAAGAGGAAAAAGAAATATATTAGTTCAAATGACTGAGATTATCTTGGTCATTAGAAAATAGAACATTTTCTGAAAGACCAATTCACAAGCTAGAAATGCCTCAGGCAAACATAAAATTCAAGCTAAGCATATACATGGTATTTTTTTTAGTTACTGTAAGATGTTGTTGTAGCTTCTCATTTCATGAGAATCATTGATAGCTATGGCAACCTCTCTCATTATGTACAGTGCCAACACACAGCAGCTGAATAGTAATATTGTATGCAACATTTTTTTAAAAATACTTCTCTGATCCTTTTATTTTCACTCCCTTTATCACTTCACCCCCACTGTGAAAACCTTCATGATGCAGTAACTGTTCTGTGGGTAGGAGAAGTGGTAGTTTCCATTTGGATCCCATTTACACGGCTTCTCTGAAAGGAAGTGCTATGGAGTGCCAAGGCATGTGAGCAGACTCTACCCCAAAAACATAATACAGTTTCCTGTCCATCTCCCTGTTTCACCTGGCCCAAGAAAGAATGGGGAGAGCTCAAGTGTTGAATCCAGATCCCAGTAAAATGTGCTGTCCATAAGGTCCTGGAATTAGAAGCATACATGCAGATGCCTCTTTCTGTTATGTGCATCTCTTAGGTATTGAGCATGAAGCGTGTACAAGGGATGCAAGCTTCACACACCCTAGTTCACATACCTGAGATGTTTTACACAATTATTCATGTCAAAGGGCTTTACTCAGGCTTTAGATAACAGCAATTTTTAAATGAAATTTAGATAAAATAGTCAGTCCCTGGAGAAGTATGGGCTGAGGGAGGGGGAAGGGAGCTGGGTAACATTAGGGAGAAGTGCAGAGACTCTATGCTCTCCCCTCCTGCACTCTTGAGGAGATCCATATCAGATGAATTTCTGATGCATTCCTTTACAACAGACCATTCAGACCCCGGGGTCAGTGGAGCTTCACCACCCCAACACAGTGCTATGACTAAATGGCTCAGTAAGGCCCACTATACATTGGATCAAGAAACATTTGAATGTAAATATATATTTGCAAGGTAGAACAGATTTTAAATTCTATCATAAATGGGAAACAGACTAAGCATAGAAATGCTTGTAAATGAACTGTTTTACCACCTGAGGTTGGTTTTGCCATGTGTAATACAATGACAAAAGTAGACAGCCATGAGTCAGATATTCATATTTATAGATTTTACAATTACTAACCTTTTTGACAAACTCTTCTGATTCCAAGAAAAACAAAGCAGCCTTCCTTTTTTCTGCCCCTACAAAGTAAGGCTCATTGGCAAATATCTTACTAGTCAGAATACTAAATGGTTGTCGGATCTAGAGCTTCTTAGATAGCATGGATCAGTACTATTACACTGCCACGTTCCTAACACAAACTATGCCACAGTAGATACTATAGTCTGAGAATTCTGAGATTTTCCATTGTACATGAAACATTTTAGATGAAAGACCTGCTCACAATGAATCAAACTTGATCAGAATCCTTCACAGCAAGGCTGTATGAGAATGAGAAAAATATTCTCCTCCAAGGCCATGGCAGTCATCTCTGCATTTTAAAAACACTGAAGACAAGCAAAATAATGGAGCAGACCAATTCATGCGATTTATAAGACTTTTGTGTTGTGGCTATAGTGGCTCTGAAGTAATGAAAGATTCTGTGCTTGAGGGAAATCTAGTGGTTGGCTAGATCATTTGGGGACCTGTTTGACATTGCCACAATGGCACTGTACAACCATCATACTTCAAGAACTGGGACCTCCATATTTAAAATTTTATATGTTCTCTGTTTACAGAGCCTTTTCCTGAATCTCAGTGGAAGTGAAATGGATTCTCTCTTTGTTGTATGTATAATGTGCAAGAGGGGAGCTTGCTGTCAGCAGAGTTATTGAAGAGTCTGGTGATGAATTTTATATATATTAAATTTATAAGTGCTTTATTAAAAGGGATTTGTTCTCCCAAGCAAGAAGGGTATTCTGCCTAAACTAGCTGGAACCTGTACAGGCCAGTTTCTATAGAGCACCACCCACAAAAGCTTTAGCAAGAATGTTTTATTAAGAACACTGCTTTATCAGGAGAAGGAAAAAATCTCCCCTTAGTTCCCATAAGTGCAGGTACTATTGTCTAGCAACTTCTGAAAATTCATGTAACCCTTTCATGGGGAAGTATAACAATATCTTAGTAGTACAACTGTAAAACTTTGTTGACTGTTACTACAGAAAACCAATTTTAATGCAATCCTACTTACAGAATTCTATTAAAAGGATGTTCATGTAGCATCCAATGTTGCTTCTATCTACTGCAGTCCACAGTTTATTCTTGTTTTAACTATATTACTGCTTTTAGCAGGTTTCAGCTGTCCATATATTTAAAACTGGGTTCCTTCTAGAGCTGTACTTTCTCTGGACTTGAAATTGCCATTGATTTGACTTCATGGTGAACAGGATAAGCCTACTCACATGTACAAAGAGCTGTCAAACAACATGTAATATCCACTTGGGCCTGTTTTTGCTCAAATTCTTTGATTGGTGTCACAGGGCACTAGGGTGCCCTGCTCCTTTAGAGAACTGAAACTGCTAGGGGAAGAGCCCTAGCGGTGAGTTGGGAGCCCCAGCTGCTGGTTACCAAGGCAGCCAGAACAAGCTAGTGGCCCACACCTGCCAGCGGTCAGCTGACCAGAAGGGGAAGGGCCTGGCTCATATATAAACCCCAGGGCTGAGGCCAGGAAGGCAGTTCCCTGCTAGCAGCCAAGGGGGAAGGAGCTCTCCCAGAGCAAGCAAAAGGGAGAGGCCTGACTGCAGGAACAGCTTCTGATACTGCTGAGGGATGGATCATTCCCTGGTAGGGTTTGAATGATGTTATAGCCGGGCGGCTTGAATTTGTTACAGCCCAGGGGCTTGTGTTTTGTTTATTGTTGTATAAGTCTGGTGGTTTGGGTAAGGCTATTAGGGGAGGGAGGAGGCCTTGTGGGGGCCCATGGCAGTGTGGGGACCCTGGCACCAGTGAGGGTATGGCATTTGGGGTGTGCAGACCCCAGTGCCAGTGAGGGCACGGCCCTTTGCAGGGCTGTGGAGAGCCCAGGGAGGACAAGGAGGCCAAATTACAACAAGGCCCAGACCAAACCATGTCAGTACCATCTGCGAGGCTTGGGGCATGGTAAAGGGGTGGTTGGAGCCATGCATGACCCATAAAGCTAGTGTGTCCCGAAACACCCATTGTGACATCTGTTTTTGAAGCAGGACCCACCAGAGGTCCAGAAAACCCACGGGGTTCAGAGACTCTATCAAGACTGTGTCCAGGAGGACTTAAAGGCAGCCTCCCTATCATTCATACCATCAAAGACATGGCGGACGAGAATAAAGGGTGCCCATTGGGCCAGTGTGGCATGATAAGGGGCCTTGGGGAGATCACAGCCATCCTGCAGGACCCCATCCTGTGACAATTGATTAACTGTTACAATATCAAAAGTCTTGTGTACTATGCTTCTCTGGCAAACATCCATCTCTGTACTGCTTCAACACCATCTCAGAATATCCTCTTCCCTTTATATTTGTCATTAATGGCCTCCTGACTTCCTTTCATGATCCATTTTCTATACTGTTATGTCTTGAGAAAATAGTCAATATTCATAGGTCCAGTGTGCTGTCTAGGAGAAGATCAGATCAATATTATCTGTTTAAAAGCTATGAAAATAAGGGGTTTCTGTATTTCTTGAAGTGGACATACATTGGTTTGGCTTAAATTATAAAATCTATAGAAGACCCTTCCCCC